TGTTTTTTGTTAAGACTTCTCTGGTGATGGTCTGGTTGGGGAAGAGATTATATGTTCCTTAATGGAGCCCTGTTGCTTATGCATCGTTAATCGACTGGAAAGAGATGTTGTTGTCTTGCCTATATACTGAGTTCTTTGAGGCTTACAGTCCCCCAGTGGGCATTTGAAGGCATAGACGACAATGGTCTTTTTTAAAGCGTTCTGCTTTTTGTCTGGAGAGTTTCTCATGAGTAGGTTGGCCGTTTCCTTGGTTTTATAGTAGATCGTCAATTGTATCTTCTGATTTTTGTCTGTAAGGATAACGTTTCTATTAATAATACCTTTCAGGAAAGAAGTTCCTGTAAAATAGTCTAATAAGGGGTACATAATATACAAACCTCCAGATGCAACGGCTGAGGAATTCACAGAACAGATAAGCAAAATAGGGAATAGCCTTGATAATTTGGAGAACCCGATACCTGATATTATCTTCCTAGGTGACTTCAACTTGCCTAGTCTCAGGTGGAAAATAGCAAACAATAATATTATACCAGGAAATCTATCAGGACCTAACCAACCTCAGATTAAAGAACTACTTAGAGTCTGTGACAAATTTTCACTCAATCAGCAGATATCGGAGCCAACGAGAAATGAAAATATTCTAGATCTGGTCTTTACGAACAATGAAGACATTATCAGAGACATTACGATATCAGATACCACATACTCAGATCACAAGCTCATTGAAGTGCAAACGACCATCAATACTCAGAATAGACATAATCGTTGATAAAGCGAGAGGGGCTATTCAGTAAATTCAATTTTAATAATAAAAGGATAGACTGGGAGATAATAGACAGGGAACTTACAAACATTCCATGGGGAACTGTTTTAAGTAATACAAGTCCTACAGAAGGAATAGAAAAACTGACTTCAGAAGCGTATCAAGTCTGTCTGAAACATGTTCCTTTGAGGAAAGCCAGAAAGAGATCTTACGTAGAAAGAGAATGCAGACGACACTATAAACGCAGGAAAAAAATAACGGAACTGCTTATGCAGACACGAATTTCCCGTCAAAGAAGGAATAATTTAAATAGGGAGATTGAAGAAATCGAGCGGAAATTGAAACACTCATATGAAACTGAAGAAAGACAGTTAGAACAGAAAGCAATTCAGGAATAAAGAAAAGACAAAATATTTCTTCTCATATGCGAAATCAAAAGCAAAAACCACTGCCATATTGGACCTATTCGTACAAGTGAAGGTTCATACACGGAGGAGACAAGAAATTATTGAAATCAACCCATCCTCCGAATAGACAGTACGTTTTATACTATGTGTAATAAGTACATTTTCATACTTACGTATTTAGTACATAAATGCACTTACCGGGCTGTTCCAGTTATTGACTGGCCTCCCAATAGAATATTCTCGTGCTTCTCACCCGAAACGAGGAATACGTTTTCTTAATGTAACGGGTGGGCTGTTTTCTTTTTTCTTAATTTTTGCGGATACTCAGTCAATTTTGCTTATACTTGTATACTCGGCCCAAATTTTGCCTTTATAATTTAAGGTATCATGAAAATTGGCCGCTTTTGAGGCAATTAAGCATAGCAGAAGCACAGTCACTGACATTCAAAGGAAAGAAGGAATGAGATAACTATTTATATTACGATTTAAATCCTTCTAATTTTTGCTCGTTCCTCAATGAGAACTGATGCCAACGCACTGGCCAATAAACTGAATAATACTGGCCACTAAACAATAGATTGATTGATTGGTGATTGATGAAGATTAAGCCACCCAAAGGGTGGCACAGCCATGAATAGCCCGTAAGTGGAGGCCCTCTCTGAGCCATTACCAGTATCAATAGATGATACTGGAGATCTGTGGAGGTGCGATCGCACCCTGCCTGACGGGAGATGTCTCCCGTGACTAAACAATAAACTGAACCTATCATAAAGAAGAACGACGACCATTGACCGTCTAGTGCTCCAACAGAGTGTAACTGAAATTAACAATGCTCAAGTCCTGACCAACAGTCAAATATTAATCCATCAGCCACGAAGCAGAGCGTCTCCCAACATCAATTCTAGTGCAGGGTCCTGTTGAACAAATTTTCCGATTTTACATAGGTTTACCGTGACAGACACTAACAATAGTAGCCTTGAAGAGGAAAGGAAATCGGCAGATTGTCGAAGGTTTGCCTGATATTTTCCAGCTATACAGTACTTTAAAAGAAAAGTTAACAGATGTTTGACTTTTATCCTTCTGTTTCACCAATATTTACCAACCATCGGGATGAATACTTATATGACACAAACTAGACATATTAGTATGAAAAAGAACTAACAATTCTCCAAATAGTAGGACGTGATTCAGTTTTCATGAAATATTCATTTTCGGGTGTTCGACTTCAGTTTGGAAATATGAAAAGGCACAGTTTGGTGCATTCAGATGATAAAGCTTTATGACATTAATTACAAATGGCATAAGAAAGAAGCAAATATTAGTTATATTTAGAACCTATAACAGAAATAATTTAAGTAAAACAGTTGATATAAAAAGCTGTATATATTTAAAAGTTGTTAGTTTCATCGCAATGAATGTAAACATGTGATCATTCGTTCAAAAACAATAACACACGTGATCCTAGATTTTGCAGTCATCGGGAGAACAAATCCTTCATGCAAACTGCACCTACTATCAAGAAGAAGAAGATCCTAGATTTGGGCATGGTATGTAAAGTTTTCTCGCATTTATGTAAATAATTCCTTCATATGTAATATTTTACTAATTGAAAAGAATGCAAATGTTTCATTGCTGTTTAGTTAAATAATTTTCAAAACTTGTTGCAGTATTAAAGTTTTGCTTGTTATGTATAGGAAGAATATATTTTACTGCATATTGGTATACACATTCTAATACGTTTTTAGTATGCAGCATGTTGTTTTTATCAATTATGTTTTTTATAATAAGCTTCCTAGAAGGTTGTAACAGATCCCATGAGCACCACACCAGAAACAAATACCTATTTGATATTCCAAGAGTACGACTTAGTTAAACTAGAAATGCTTTACAAATCAAGGGATCTCGAATGTGGCCTTCCCAATTATGTTAAAGACTGTACCTCTCCCCAACCAGTTTAAGTTAAAAACTAAGTACTAGCTAATTAACTCAATGTAACCTACCTCACCCCCAAAATGTCAACCCATCTCTTCTATTTAAAACAATGCTGTTTGTTGACCAAATTGTATTTTACTTTTTTTCTGCCATGTTTCACCCCCTCCCCTCCCTTTTTTCCATTTTTTTCTTATTTTTTCTCACACAATTTATACTTTAATCTCTTTTAGTATTAAGTTTTAGTCTTAGTGTTTTTCCTGCCCGAAACACTTTGCGTAATAGTGGCTTTAGGCATTGTATGTACTAGCTCTATCTATAAATCCATCTACTTTTGTATCTTACCTTGTATGTATGTACTTTACCTGAATAAATAATTGTATTTGTATTTGTAATAGGTAGATGATACAGAAAGCAGTACAATGTCTGTCACAAATCCTTTTACTGCGGCAGCATTAAGACCACAAGTCAGTAGAATAAATATGCCTGGAAGATCGACCCCAGCCAGCATACTAGCAGGTAAAAAAACATTTAATCAGCTTTTGACAAAATTACAAATAAAGATGTGTTATGTTATGTCATTGTGTTAGGTTAGCCTAGCTATTATTTCCAATTTGTTTTTTAATTTGTATTAGTATGCAGTACTAGGCTATTGTAACAAATTGGAATGTACAACGTCCAATATTTTTTTGGCAGATTCGTTCTTGGCTCCTGAAAACTATCTTTACTTACCAGATGTACCAAGAATAACTCCGGACAATAATGATGGTATTGTTTATAAAATCATTTGATTATGGCCTTTATAATACATTAATATCAAAGTTTACAACCTTGTGTAATACAGTAAGTCTTTGTTTTAACAATAACAACAGAATTTTTTTTCTATGCTCAGCATAATTGGCTTGAAATCCATCATCCCATTATAATTTCTATCACTTTGATTATTGGTTTAGACAATTACATCAAAACATTTAATGTAGCTTCTCTTGCTACAGTTATAATGTATCCTATTGAGAATGTATATTTTTTAACAGAAGGTCTCCAGACACTAGCAATTTTAGCTAAAGAGAACCTTCATCGTGAATATTTTAAAATAAACTCGGCTCTCCAGAAAAAATGTGAATATATGAAGCGAAGTTTAAATATTGAGGACCAAAATTATCTGAAGCCTTCAAACAAGAAAGGAAAAGGAGAAAATTACTGCAGGATTATTGAAATCAATCAAACACAACGTTCAAACTTATCAGAAGGTAATTTTTTATTTAGTTATTTATTCCATGACCCATTTTTGTGTGTTCCTATATCATAGTATAATGATAGGTTTAATTGCTAGTGTAGATTTCATTTTGCCTCAGACTTAAAATTATTTAGGTTTTTGGTGTTTTATTATTCAAAATTTGTTTATAGATAATCCAAGGTTATAGTCAACTTCTCCTTTGAAAACAGATATTTACCTGAATGCCACAAACTCTAGTAGCCTAGAAGAGTACAGGAAGCCCGCGGCTTGTTGAAATTCCCCCCATTTGCCTTTATGATCTTTTTTTTGGGTATATTTAGAAATTCAGCACAGTTTTGGCAGTTACAGCTCTGGTGGGTAGGCAGTTCCATGTGTTAATAACCCTCTGGGTCAAAAATAATTTCCTGTTGTCAGCCCTACATTTTGGTTTGTTGAACTTGAAACCGTTGCTCTTTGTTTGTATTACATCTGAACCAAACTAGCCAAACTTTTTTGATAATGTCATTGACTGCTTCATATCTGGCAATCTTTCCCTGTGTCTTATGACAGATTAGGCCATGGCTGCCATATTGGTCTGCCCTTGCATAGCCGCAAATACACCGGTGTTCGGTGGAGATAGGGGCAGCGATGGTCATAGACAGCAAAAAAATGTAGATAGTTTACAAATTAAAAATAGATAAAGTGTTGTGGAATTACCATACTTAAAGGTTGATTTTCTGCCAAACAGCCCTTCTGCCTGCTTCTCTTTCACCTCCACACATTCAAAGTTCTGACTTCTCAACTAGTGTACCAACATATACTCAAACATATTTACCAGCTGCAGAACAAACACCAAAATCATTGAATTCTGGTACGTCCCTATTTGAACTATGTAATGTAATATAATCTTAGTACCTAGTATCTACTATATATATA